GCCCGACTTCATCCTGGCTATGGCCATCGTTCGGAGGTCAACTTCGCGTGCGTGTTTCGATATCGTGCCTGGTTCGATTCGCAAGATGATCCAAAATGCTCCTCGATGGTCCTCGCCGGGAGGAAAAAAATAAGCACACGTCCAAGCGGTGCCAAGGACTCGCAAGAATCACGCAGGGTGATCATAGAACAATGCAAGGAGAGCCGGTGCAGAGTCCACGAATTGGAAACGAGCTCAGGAGCTCCACCCCTCTTGCTCCTCCTGCTCCTGCAGCTCCTCATGTTCCTGCTCCTGCTGCCCCTCCCCCGTCTGGTGTCTCTTCCTGCTCCACCTGCCTCACACGCTCCTCCGCATCCTCGTGCTCCTCATCCTCAGCTTGCTGAACCAGCTCCTCCTGCCACTCATCCTCCTCACCCCTCTTTCCGACGCGCGGGTATAAGAGCAGCATCATCAGTAGCGGCAGCAGCGTCAACATAAACATCTGTCTCATCATTCCCATCATCGCTGACATATGTCCTCGTCTTCCGTCTTAGCATCCTCCTCCTACTAAGTCTCTCTTCTGAATCGCTCCTCCATCCCCTTCTCTAATTCATGACTCCTCCCTGTCTTGCGCCCCGAGGCGTGTCGGTGGGGCGGGCCGGGCGTTTCGCCGAAGACCTTCTCTCCATGTACGGCTTCCTGGCGTTTCACGGATGGAGGGCGGACGTGTTCCAAAATGTGGCCCTCGCCTCAGCGCCGCGCACTTTCGACCCAAATGTTCGCAGGAGCTTCACGGATGGCGCGCGGGACGTATTCCAAATGTGGCTCTCGCCTCGGCGCCGCACACGCTCGTCGTAAAACTTTGGAGCCGTTCCACGGGCGGAGGGCGGGCGGTTTGCAAAACGCGGCCCTCGCCGCAGCGCCGCGCACATTCGTATTAAAAGGTCCGCTGCAGCTTCTCGGATGGAGGCTGGGCGGTTTTCAGGATGTGGCTCTCGACATCGCGCTGCGCCCATTCGTCTTGAACTATAACGCCAACCTCGCGGATGGAAGGCGGGTGGTGTTCAGAATGAGGCTCTCGCCTCAGCACCGCGCACATTCCTCACAGAAGTGTGCAACCGTTTCACGGATGGAGGGCTCAGCGCAGCGCACTTTCGTCTTAAAGGGTTGAACCAGTTTCACGGAGGGAAGGCGGGTGGTTTTCAAAGAGTGGCCCTCGCCTCAGCTCCGGGCACATTCGCATAAAATATTGCACCAGCTTCACGGATGGAAGGCGGGTGGTTTTTTAAACATGGATTTCGACCCAGCGCCGCGCAAATGCGTCTTAAAATACTGCACCAGCTTCGCGGATGGAGGGCGGGTAATTTTCGAATTGTGGCCCTCGCCTCAGCGCCGTGCACACTCGTTTCGAAAGCTGCAGGAAGTTCACGGATGGAGGGCGACTCGTTTTCAGGCAGGCGGTTTTCAAAATGTGGCTCCCGCCTCAGCGCCGCGCACAGTCGTCGTGAAAGTTTGCAACAAATTCACTGACGGAGGGCGGGTGGTTTTCAAAATGTGGCTCTCGCCTGAGTGCCGCGCACATTCGTCTTAAAAATGTCCAGCAAATCAGCGTATTCTCATGGACGTCGTTTCAGGAATGGTGCTCCGCGCAATTTAGGATTGTCAGGGTGCCAAAGTCGCTTTGATTCGCGGCGTTGACATCCCAGCACGGGTGTTCTGGCACGAGTCAGGATCGTCAGGACGCAACAGTAACGTTGATTCGCAGTGTTAAAGTCCCAGGACTGGTGTTTCGACACCACTTGGAGATAATCAGATGGTGGTCTTCCAACGGTACGCTTCCCGCAGTGAAAGTAAATTAATGAAGGGACCTATGAAGAGGGGAAGCTGGAGGGAGGGCTTATTGCAACATCGTTGACGGGTCCTGGATGTACTCTGGTCCTCTTACTCCTCCTGATCCTCCTCCTCCTCCACCTCCTCCTTCTCATCCTCCCCATCCCAGTTTGAGGGGAGGGGAGGCTGATGGGGAGAGGGAGACGGACGCTTAACCCATGCCCCCAGGCGGCTGCACCCTGGTCTTCGGGCCACCTGGCCAGCGCCCACCCGATTCCCGAGTCGGCCGGGCCGTCTCTTAGCGCCACCGCCGCAGGCGCATCTTGTTGGTCTTCTTGTAGTGGCCCTTGTACGACGGGCGCAGCTTGCTGGCGCGCTTGCCCTTCTTTTGCAGGCCGCGGGCCTTGCGGCCCGCCGCAGTCAGGCCGCGCAGCTCGCGGTGCTTCATCACGGCCTTGCAGATCCAGTTGAGGCGGGGGTCGTCGCGCACGCACTTGTGCATGGGGTCGACCATGACGACCTCGTGCCAGTTTTGTGCTGTCCAGCAGCATGAATGAAAGGGGCCCAAGGACACAACAAAGAAATAGACAGAACCTCCCGGATTCCCCATCTGTTTCCATACGTTCTGGAGTTTCGTCGTCCCCCCCCCACTTCCAATAGTTTCCCACATTTCTGAAGATCAACGGCTACTTGTGTCTGTGCGTTCCCCTCCTGAGATTCCCCGCAGCATGAGCTTGGAGGAGGGGCGGCAGGCGCGGACACCACGGCGACCAGCAGCGCAACTCGGTGGGACGAACGATACTCTCGAAACAAGAAGCCAAAGGCGTGGGCCGAATGGGATGGCGGGACGCGAGGGGGGAAGACTGGAAGTAGCATGGCCTTGGGGCGCCTTGCCCCCCTTAGCGGGCGCAGCTTCCTGACGGCCCCGCCGGCGGCCTCCGGCTTCCGAGGTGGCACCACCCTGGACAGCACGGTGGTCGCAAGCGCACACCGTGGCGGAGGCCGCGGAGGGAGGAGGAGAGAGGAGGAGGAGGGAGGAGGAGATTCTTTTGGAGGATGCCGCCATTTTACCAATGAAGTGGGTGACGCTGATCGCAATCATTGGTAAACCTGATGGGGGGCTACGTCCTACAGCGCTGATATGTTCTACTTTGCGGGTCTGGGCGAGGATGAGGCAACGTCAGGCCATCGAGAGGGAGCGGATGCGCAAGTCGAGCTCCTTCTGGGGCACGAAAGACACGTAGTGCGAGCATGCGGGATGGCTTCACAATTTGCTGTTATTCTAGTTCTCTTTCGTTGACGAAAACGGGTCCTTGTTTACGGATTAGCACACAAATTGTATGAGCGTGATGCGGACGGCGCGCTTATGCGGGAAGGCGCTGCGACGGACTTCAATGTGCAGCTCTTGCACGCAGCGCGCGTGCTGTAATCCAGGGTCGGGGAAATTTGTTCTCATTGCGCCATTGGGGCCATATTTTGTACGCATGGGGCCATTCTGGCCGGGCACTCACGTGCGACACAACGTGTGAAGGTTCTGCTGTGGCGTCTTTTGTCGGACATTTCTGCTGCATACCCTTCGGCCTATATTCGCAGCGTGATCGACGATGCTTCGGCGCAGGGACTGGGGACAGTGAAGCACGTGCACGAGCATTTGGGTCAAGTCGGGGACGAGCTGAGATCTGATTTTCGTCGACTGGAGCTCGTCCTATCGGAGGGAGAGTGTAATGTTTCGTCCTGGCGCGTCATGCACGGAACTGCCAGACATGTCACGCGCGGTGGGCCGGCCGCCATGGCCCCTAAAGCCTCAGCCCGCTCCTGAGGTTGTGAGCGTTTTTTGATTCCGGCGTTTTGACATTGGGAGGAAGGGGAGGGGGAGGGGGGAGTCTGGTGCCTGACCTCTGCTTAGTTCGACTGTTTGCAGCAGTGCGCCCTATGGGGGGAGACTCCACCTGCTCGAAACAGGCGCCCAAACCACCCAAGACCTACTCCAGGGGCGAGGGGGGGAGGGGGGGTGCAAGGGACGGCGCCGATCGGCCAAACAATGAATGAAAAACGATCACGTTGCGATGCTGTCGCAACTAGGATACGTCACACTGCCACGGCCAGCAGGCGCGCGCGCAGTGGCCTCAAGCACGCGAGACGCCTGCGGCGCCTCCGCAAGGCCGGGGCCTCAGTCGTGCTGGTCCGCAGTCTGGCGCGCTCTGGAGCGCCGCAGAGGGGGGCATCCCACCTCGGCAACTGAAATTGTCTGCGGCTGGCAGGCGGGCGTTTTTGTATTCGGCGCTTCGGCATTGGGCAGAAAAGGGAGGGGGGGAGGGGGGGGTCTGGCTCCGGACCTCTGCTTAGCGCGACTGTTTGAGACAGTGCGTCACATGAGGGGAGGCTCCACCTGCTCGAGACAGGCGCCAAAAAACAGCCAAGATCCACTCCCTGAGGAGTTTCCTTGTCGAGGACACCACTCGACCGTCCCCCTCCTTCTCCTCCAGCTCGTTGTCCCCCTCCACCTCCTCCTCCTCCTCCTCCTCCTCCTCCTCCGCCTCCTCCCCCAATATACTTCTCCTTCTCCTTCTCATTCTCCTTCTCCGCCGTCTCGATCCCACCTCGAAACCGCTCCATCCACGATCGTCCTCCTCCCTCCTCCTCCTCCTCCTCCTCCTCCTCCTCCTCCTCCTCATCCTCCTCCGCTTACTCCTCTTCCTCCTGCTCGATCCCCCCCTTCTCCGACCTGGGGGGGAGGGGGGGGGGCGTGCGAGGGCCCGGGCCGAGCGGCAAAACAGTGAATACAAAAACGTTCACCAGCCGCCTGGTCCCTGCACAAGTAGGTCGGGCATGTCCCCCTTCAGGCGGATTTTGGACGAAATCTAACAAGTAGCCAGAACATAATCAAAAACAATCAAGAAATCGTCCCCAGACTATGTTTTAAAACATTTTTGAATAGTCCTCCTGTAGAGGGACAGGCCCGACTTAAGAATAACAAAAGCGTTCACCAGCCGCCTGGTCCCTGCACAAAGGAGGGGAACACAGCCTCAGAGCCGCAACTCGGATCGTCCAAGGAGGCCAAGAGGGTGGATCCGCTCCCCCATCTGTCACGCCAGCGTTGTTCTTCAGTGGGCCAGGGCCGTTTGGGAGGGGGTCGCCGAATCGTCTGTGTTGCAGCAGGCTGACGCGGCAGCGGCCGACCAGCCAGGAGCCTCCAGGAAGCCGTAGGTGACTGCCACGTTCCCCGCGCATGTAGTCGCCCTGAGCTTCCAGTACCTCGGCTGGCGGCCCTCGTCGCGCCGATTGCTTTGCACCGCCACGGGCCTTAATATCGATGTTCTGCAGCTGTCGCCGATACAAGTTCGCGAGCTGGCGAGGCAGGCTGCCCTCGACGTGTCCGACGTGAAGTCGCCGTCGACTCGGAATATCTCCTAGTGCTCGTTGCGGCCGATCTTCTGGGAGCCGGTGCACGTGCTCCTGGAGCATCAACCCTCGGAGGGGTGGACGGAGCGCCACGTGCACACTTTGCGAGGGCTCGCGCCAATGGAGTTCTGAGCGCACGATCGCCTGCAACAGCACCACCAAGCGAACTCCGACATATGCCGGCTATGCGGTGAAGAAAGGGACACGTTTTTTCATCGCAGGTTCCGGTGCGCCGAATGGGCGGCCGACCGTAGGCACCATTGTTCCAGTCTGCTTTTGCGGACAGCCCGCACGGCGCATGATTTAGGATAGGATTTGACCAAATTTGCATGTGGCATTGTTCCTGATCACCGGGACTTGCCTCCCAAGCACTTGCTCTCCACTGATGCTGGAATAGATAGAATCAACCGGCCCGCGGACGGTTGGATGACCGTCGTATTTTTGGGGGATGGCAGCGCATTCCATCTAGAGATTCCACTTCTTGGGAGTGCAAATTGGGCGCTGGTAGTGGCAAACCGTTCTGGTCGCACGATGTGTGCGGCTCATGGGGTTGTCTCGGCGGACATCTGTCCACAGCAGTCCTCGCGCGACGCCGGAGATTATACGGTATTCATGCTCAGTTCTTGTGCCTTCGGCCTTTGGGCCGGTAGAGGTTAACTATGTTGATTGCGCCTCAACCCTCCAATGCTTGCATAATCAATTTTTGCTTAGTCTCGTCGCAGTGCTCGAACGTACATTTGTGGTAACGCGTGTGGCACATGTTCGACGATGTCGGTATGCTGCGCGCGCACAAAACGAAAGCACACTGCACACAAACTGACACAGATAAGATGAAGCCGGGATCGGGGCAAAATTGGACCGGGATAAAAATCATGCTCGGTTTTTCAAATCACCGGGGGTGCCGCCGAACGGGCCTGCCGCGCCTTGGGCGCCATCGGCTTCGCGAGGGAAGAAAAGCGCCCCGGCGCGGATGAAGCCACGGCGCGTATTTGGCCAAGCGCACGACCGAGGGAATTCAGCGCCAAGCGCCTTTCACTCCAGAAGGCCCGACGTCAACAAAACAAACTTGAGGCCCAAAGGGGGCCCCAAGGAGGCGGACCGCCAAAACAATCACGCAACCAACGTAACGAAAAAACGCGACAATGTCAAACATCGCGTTACTCAATGACCTCTCCGGCCAAACAACACCGCGATAATGCCCAAGAAGGCGTTGGAAACAAGTCACGCGCGCGGCCAGGCGACTTCCCCGCGCCGCCCCAAGGTTCTCGAAGCGCGCCGAAATAACCGTAGAGAACACCCCGGAAAGTCTTTGGAAAATCCCCGCGCCATGCAAGATCCGCCACCGAACAATCTCGCGGACACCTAGCGCGCGCGCGGGCGTCCACCATGGATGCCCAACTCCGGTTTCCGAGGCAATCGCGCGCAACCGCCTGGGGGCCTCGGCAACCTCGCAATTGGCCCAGGGGCCCGCGGGCCCCAGGGAATCGAAGACCGAGCTCGCAACTCCGGAAGCATCGGGCGCGGCGCCAGCCAGTCGCTCGTCTCTGGCTGACAGTAGGACGCCTGGAGGCCCGGTAAAATCTAAGGAACCGCTTTTTCAGGGATTCACAGAACCAGAAACCGGGGCGCGCCAAATTCTCGCGTCCGAACTTTTCTGAGAATCTCTGAAAATCTCTAAACTAGCCACCCCGCGTGAAACATTCCCATAAACCCAAAACCTCGGAGCTGGCCGGAACTCTCTGAGAGTTTTTCGGCCCGCGAAATTTGGCGCGCCCGGATTTCCGGTTCCGAGATCCTCTGAAATCGCGCTGCGGCGGCGCCCAGCAGGTCCTCGCGCGCCCAGGGTGGGGGCCGTGGACATCGCGGGCCGCGATGATCCCGACCGCGAGGTCCTTCCTCCTGCCCCTCGACGAGTCCACGCTCATGGACACGCTCTCTGCGCTGAGCGTGGACCGCGCCATCTGCCGGTACCTCTGCGCGACGACAGCCAACTGGCCGCCGACGGACAAGGCGATTTTTCTCCGAGCTGCGCGCGTCACCGAAAACGTGCAATAGCCCCGGGCTCGGGGAGAAACACTTTCGAAACATTTTCAGGCCGCCAGCGTCGCGGCTGCCGACCCGCCGCGCGCCGACCGAGAGACTAGCTGGGCCCGCTACGTCCACGGCGGCGGGCGGGCGCCCAAGAGAGCTGTCGCCACGGTGCGCGCGGCGGGGCGCCCGCCCAACTGCAACCGCAAATGCGGCCTCCATGGCGCCACAGGCGTAATATGTGTGACGCATTCTCGCGCCCCCCATCAGCGCATTGGCCAGCGCCCAAATCCCTGAAACGCAAACCTACTGCGCCCCCCGTGCAAGCCGCGCACCCGCTCACAATGCTCGTGCACACCAGATTTTCTGCCCGCCCAACAGTTTCATTGAGCGCCCATGTGTTACTTGGGCTCCTGAAGCCCTCGAACACTCTTTGGGAACTTCTGCGAATGCGCGCGCTACGCTCCACAAATCGGCGTTCTATTTTTCTCTGGAAGTCTCCCAGAATCTCTGGTTCCGATTTGTCCCGATCTTCCGCTCAACTGAACAGATGCAGGCCGCGCCACGGCCTGGGGGCGTCTAGCTAACGAGTCGGCCGGTTCGTTTGCGAAGCAGAGGGCGGGATAACACCCGTCTGCCATTGTTCTCGGTCGAATCGCCACAATCGGGCCCTGAGCTCGAGCTGCTTGTGCACAACCTAGGGCATCTGTGTATTAGATCTTGCCTCTGTGTATCAAGCTGATGGTCGGCCTGGACTGGCGAGGAACAGAGTGGCTCTATCTGCACGTCCTGGGGGGGATGCGCTTGGGGAGGTGTACTGAGCTTAAGAAAGACCTGCAGCGACCCGACTCCGGCAATGAGGCGGCAGCGGAACAAGGCGGTTGAAGGCCAGTTCCCTCGATGGTCTCTGCCATGCGCGGGTTGGAGAATCGGCCCCACTTGCCTGCTTTCTCGCAGGGCGCTGAGTCTCGTCTCTCAGGAGGCCCAAGACGGCGAGCTCAAAGCCGGGGTGTATGGTGTGTTCTCGTGGGGTCGCTGGAAACTCTTCGCCAGTTAGGGCCGACCCAAGAGCTGTCCGAAGCATGGGCGACCTGTGCCCAGCGCCTGGAGGCGTCGCGTCGCAAAGCGAGAAGGCCGACCAGCACTGAGGATTTTCCGACTCGCGGAGCACTTGCAAACCTTCATAATTCGTTCCTGTTATGTTGAGTCTCGGCTCGCGTGGGGTCGACATGCGTGGCCGCACCAGCAGTGGCAACAACAAGGGCCCCCCAATGACGCCCCTGACGTAGTCGAGGGAAGGTGGGGAAGAGGAGGAGGTCGCTGAACCTCCAGCGCCCCCGCCGTGCTGTCGTTCACCCTCTCCTGTGCCCCCCTGCATTCTGCTGCCACCTGGCTCGCGCTTCGGACCGCCCTGGACAACTGTTCCAGGGCAGCCAGCCGCTCCAGACTCAGCGAGACAGGCAGGAGGAGACTCGCACTGCCTTCGGCAAACATCACTGACAGTGCGCGGCGACCAGGAAGCGTGCCAGGCCAAGCCCGCACCCTCCCAGCCGCGAAAAAAAACAGGAGCTCCTCTTCCGCCTCTTCGGTTGTGGACGTCTGGCGGCACTTCATGCCGCAACTGCTGCCGTATGGGCGAGTGCGGCCGCGTCGCGACGAGCTGGGATAATGGGGGGGGAGACAACGGAGGATATTGGGCCCGCCCGGACCCCACTTGCCCGGCCCCAACGCATCATTGGAGGATATAGCCTGGATGTGCGGGAAGAGGGCCATGTCTCTAGGCTGGGACCCCGTACTGATCATCATCATCATCATCATCATCATGATCATCATCATCATCATCATTATCATCACCACCACCACCATCATCATCATCATCATCATCTTCATCATCATCATCATCATCACCATCACCATCACCATCACCACCACCATCATCATCATCATCATCGTCGCCGTCGTCGTCGTCAGCATCATCATCATCATCCTCATCATCATCATCAGCATCATCATCAGCAGCATCATCATCATCATCAGCACCATCATCAGCAACATCAGCATCATCATCAGCACCATCAGCATCACCATCATCATCATCAGCATCGCCCCAACCACCACCACTACCACCACCACCACCATCATCATCATCATCAGCATCATCATCAGCATCATCATCACCATCATCATCATCATAATCATGATCAACCTCATCAACATCGTTATCAGTATCATCATCGCGACCAGCATCATCATCGTCAAGATCATCAGTATCATCATCATCAGCATTATCATCATCAGCATCAGCATCAGCAACAGCATCATCATCACCACCACCAACACCGTCATCATCATCGCCATCATACCATCAGCACCATCGACATCATCATCATCATCTTCAGCAGCATCATCATTAGCGTCATCGGCACCATCATCATCATCAGCAGCATCAGCATCATTACCATTACCATCATCATCATCACCACAACCATCATAATCCGCATCATCAGCATCATCATCAGCATCGTCAGCAGCAGCAGCAGGATCAGCATCAGCATCATCATCATCAGTAGCATCATCATCACCACTACCATCATCATGCTCATCATCATCATCAGCATCGTGAACATCATCATCATCATCATCATCATAATCGTCAACATCGTGCATATGCGCATGCGCATATATATATTTATGTATATATATGATAATATATCTATACGTAATATGAATATATAGATGCGTGTACATGTTCAATGTCTCCCTCTCTCTGTATGATGTATATATATCTCTCTATATACTCTCCCTGTCTATCTCTGTCTCTCTCGCTCTACGCATCTCTCTTCTTGTCTCTCTATGTACCCAACTTGGCCCGCCCATCCTTCAATATCATAACTAAGTGTGGTCGCAAATGCTCTCTTTCTCTCTCTCTCTCTCTCTCTCTCTCTCTCTCTCTCTCTCTCTCTCTCTCTCTCTCTCCATTCCCTCTGGTAAACTCTACTCGCGCTGACCTCTGACCACTGCGCTCTTTACGATCAAAGACCCAAGCGCTTGGCCGCAGTCAAAACATCGAGACCACCAGAACTTCTACACTGACAAGAAAGAATCCAGAAACGGGAACTGGGAAACCACAAAACCTACCGAGCCTCTCAAGGCCAAGGACCCTGGAATCGAGCACCGGGGTCCCGGGAACCCAACCGCCCACCGAATCCGGATCCTAGGAACCTAACAGAATTGGGAACCCTGGGGCCCAACCGACCTCAAAGGGGTGAGAAACGGGAGCAGGAGGAGGAAGAACCCTGAACCCTGCCGCCCACCGACATCGGCCTGGAGACCGGGAACCGCAGGGAACCCAACAGGGCCCAGAAGCGGGAACGCGCGCAGGAACCCAGCAGCCTGCCGACATCGGCCCAGGACGTGCGCCAAAGCCTTCGGTCTCCGCGAGGACCCCTGCAGTGCAGGCACTGCTGCCCCGCGCTTTGTCGGAATTGAAAGATTGAGCCCGCCGCCGCCCCGCATTCAGGGTTATTATTACAGACGACTACTACTATCATCGTTATTCGCATGAACAGCAACAGCATAAGAAAGAACAACCCTAATCACCAACAGCATCATCATCATCATCAGCATCATCAACATCGTCATCATCACCATCATCATCATAACCCGCGTCATCGACATCATCATCATCACCATCATCATCATCGTCATTGTTATTAACCGTCATCATCATCATCAACATCAGCATCCTCATCATCATCAACCTCGAAATCATCATCATTCTCATTGTCATCCTCATCTTCATCCTAGTAGTAGTAGTAGTAGTAGTAGTAGTAACCGTCGTAGTAGTAGTAGTAGCAGTAGTAGTACTAGTAGTAGTAGTAGTAGTAGTAGTCGGCTGGGCCCCTGGACCACCAGTCGCAATCCGACGCCGGCCGGCCGGCCGGCCCGCCCGCGAGGGGAGGCGACAAGACGAAGACATCCCAAGATTTGTTTTTTCTGTTTCAAGCCCCCGTTTCTTCGTCGACTTTTTCGGCTCCTCGGCGACGGTGAAAACGACAGCCCCCCAAGTGAATAATATCAAAAAACAAAGGGCCAAGCGAATATCTGAAAAACATAAGGGCCCCGCCGGGGCCGCGGCGGGAACAAAAAAACAAATCTTGGGATGGCTGGAGAAGCGGCGGCGTCGGGCGCGGCGTCGGGCGCCGGCCGGCGTCGGGCGCGGCGCCGCCGCTCAGAACCTCCGGGCCGCGCCAGAGCGGCGGGGAGGAGGGGGGGGAGGAGGAGGGGGAGGAGGAGGAGGAGGAGGAGGAGGAGGAGGAGGAAAGGGAGGAGGAGAAGGGGGGGAGGAGGAGGAAGAGGAAGAGGAGGAGGAAGAGGAGGAGGCGGAGGAGGAGGAGGAGGGAGAAGGAAGGGGAGGCGCCTCAGGGACTCCTCAAAATCAGCCAGCGTTCTCCGCCTCCTCCGCCTCCGCCTCCTTCTTCTCCGCCTCCTTCTCCTCCGTCTTGTTATTCTTCTTGTCCACCGCGGTCGCCTTCTTGGGAGGGGGGGGGAAAGAAAACGAGGGGGGCGGGGGGGCCCTCCGAGGAAAAAATGTCGGCGCCCAGCGGTCTGAGCGGAGGGCCCCCCGCCCCCCGCGCCAACATAGATTCTTAGGCTGAAGGTCGGGGCGAGCCAATTGCGCCCTGGACACGGCGGGGGCACAATGGCCACCCCCGCCATCTCCAGGGCACAATTGGCTCGTTTCCTACATCCAGCCTCAGACCTCCTAAACAAAAGATAAACTAATGCTCAAAATTTGGGTTCAGGGGGGCGGGTGAGTGACTCACCCACCCCCCTGAACCCAAATTTTGCGTTCAGGGCCCAGCGGATCTGTTTTTCGGAGGTGGGGGCATCGGCCGGGGGGGAAGAAGAAGAGCCACGTCGTTGTTTGACCTCTTTATTTTCCTCGTTTCCTCCGCCTCATCCTCTCCCGCCCGCCCTCCTCCTCATCATTCTCCTCCGCCATCCCCTCCTCCTCCTCTTCCCCCCCCCCCTCATCCTCCTCCTTCTCCTCTTCCTCCTCCGCCTCCGCCAACTACTACTACCGCCCAGCGCTGTTTACCATGTCACCCCGCGCCTTCGCGGCCGACCGAACAACGCCCTGCACCTTCTTGCTGCGCTTGACAGGGCTCTCGTGGGTCAGGTTCACGACGCCGTAGCAGCGGCAGTGCGTTGCTGCTGCCGCTGACGACAACCCTGGTGATGATGATCCCGCTGCTGGCCCCGCTGGTGATGATGATCCCGCTGCTGGCGGCCCCTCTGCTGGTGATGATGATGCCGCTGCTGCTGTGTTGCAGTCTGATGGCACCGCTGGCCGTGATGCTGCAGCTGCGTTGTAGGCCGGTGACTCCGAAGCTGATGGCGCGCTGGCTGCTGATGTTCCCGCTGTGCCGGCGGCTGATGCTCCCGAAGCTGATGGTGCGCTGCTGGCGGCTGATGGTCCCGCTGTGCTGGCGGCTGATGTTCTTCCCGAAGCTGTTGGTGCGCTGGCGGCCGATGTTCCCGCTGCGCCGGCGGCTGATGTTCTTCCCGAAGCTGTTGGTGCGCTGGCGGCCGATGTCCCCGAAGCAGCTGCTGGCGCGCTGGAGGCCGATGCCCCCGAAGCTGCTGGTGCGTTGGCGGCTGATGTCCCCGGAGCTGTTGCTGCCGCCGACGAGCGATTGGAGGCTCTGCTGTCTCGTAGGCGGCGCTCCCAATAGCTCCAGTCCACGTCCTCAATCGGGTGAGTTTCCACAGCTTGCACGCTCTGAGGCGCGGTGTACAAAGAGTGAAGGAGGTCCCATAACTCGTCTCGCAAAGAAGGCGAGTTCATGATTTCATTCAAGAGATTACAATGCACAGCGCTGTAATAGAACAATATGTCCGAACGCGCAGTCTGGGGCGTCAGCGGCTTCACGGCATGGGTGTAAATCCCCCCCTTCTTCTTGTCGGTCATGGCCCCGCAACAACAACAGCCCAACCAATTCGCGATGAAGAAAGAATACAACGCCATGGAAATTCCAGACACCATTGCCTGGGCGATATGGACGCCCAGAAGAAATACCTGGACTACTATGATGATATGGAACGTGAAAAAAAAACGATGAATCTGCCACTCGAGCCCGGCGGCGCTTCCCGACCAGCCGAGCGGGTCCGCGACTCAAAAAAAAAAAACCCTCGCCTTTCTTTCTGGGGAACGGCTGAGGGGGGTAATAATGACGGGGCGCTCGCGCACATGCACCGGGGTCCTTGCGAATTTGTTTCGCAAATATTATTGGGGATCTTTTTCAAATTAAAATCCGACCCTCCATCCCTCCAAACTCCGCCGCAGGCGCCCAGAATAATAATAATAATTTCAAATTGCGGCAGCACCCCCAAATTATTGGAAGCATACCCCCTGGATTTGCCCAGGACCCCCCAGGAATCTTAGGGGCCCTGACGGATTCTGATAGATTCTACTGGTTTCTGGAGCACCGTCCTGGAGGATTCCTCCCTGGACGCCCTCTTGGAGCCGTGTCGGGCCGTTTTGGGAAGCCCCTTGGGCCGTCTCGAGGCCATCTTAGGTCGTCTTGCGTCTTGGGCCGTCTTGAATCGGTCTTGGGCAATCTTGGCGGCCTTGGTGGCCTGTTTGGGCCAGGTGGCAGTCATCTTGGATTCCTCGGAGGGCGCCGGGGGCATGTCTCGGCGCCGCATTTTGGACACCATCTGGTATCTGGAATCCAGATGACTGCCACCTTGGATTCCTCGGAGGGTGCCGGGCCATGTCTCGGACATGGCCCGGCACCGTTCGGCGCCGCATGTCCGCACATGTTTCGGTGGCAGTCATCTTGGATTCTTCGGAGGGCGCCGTATGGAAAACGTATTGAGTGGCAATGTATCGCCTCATGTTGAGGCCCAGAATGCAAGTGAAACAGTTAGTTTTTCTCAACCAGTTTTCTGGTGACCCACCCCTTCGTGGGTCACCTGGTGTGCTTGCGCCGTATCGAAAACGCATTGAGAGGCAGCGCGCCGCCTCATGTTGAGGCCCAGAATGCAAGTGAAACAATGGGTTTCTCTCAACCAGTTTTCTGATGACCCACCCCTTCGTGGGTCACCAGGTGTGCTTGCGCCGTATGGCAAACGTATTGAGTGGCAATGCATCGCCTCATGTTGAGGCCCAGAGAGCAAGTGAAACAACTGTTTTTTCTCAACCAGTTTTCTGGTGACCCACCCCTTCGTGGGTCACCTGGTGTGCTTGCGACGTATGGCAAATATATTGAGTGGCAGTGCATCGCCACATGACGAGGCCCAGGATGCAGGTGAAACATTTTTTTTCTCAACAAGGTTTCTGGTGACCCACCCCTTCGTGGGTCACCTGGCGTGCTTGCGCCGCATGGAAAACGCATTGAGTGGCAATGCGTCGCCTCATGTGGAGGCCCAGAATGCAAGTGAAACAATTTGTTTTTCCAAACAAGTTTTCTGGTGACCCACCCCTTCGTGGTTCACCTGGTGCGCTTGCGCCGTATGGCAAAAAAATTGAGTGGCAATGCGTCGCCTCATGTTGAGGCCCAGAATGCAAGTAAAACGATTGGTTTTTCTTAACCAATTTTCTGGTGACCCACCCCTTCGTGGGTCACCTGGTGTTTGTTTCGCCGTATTGAAAACGCACTGAGTGGCAATGCGTCGCCTCATGTTGAGGCCCAGAATGCAAGAAAAACGATGGGTTTTTTCTCAGCCAGTTTTCTGGTGACCCACCCCTTCGTGGGTCACCTGACGTATTGAATGGCAGCGCATCGCCTCATGACGAGGCCTAAAACGCAAGTGAAACAATTGGTTTTTCTCAACCAGTTTTCTGGTGACCCACCCCTTCGTGGGTCACCTGGTGTGCATGCGCCGCATGGAAAACGTATTGAGTGGCAGCGCATCGCCACATGACGACGCCCAGGATGCAGGTGAAACAATTCGTTTTCTCAACCAGTTTTCTGGTGACCCACCCCTTCGTGGGTCACCTGGTGCGCTTGCGCCGTATGGCAAACGTATTGATGAGTGGCAGCGCATCGCCTCATGACGAGGCCCAGAGTGCAAGTGAAACAATTGTTTGTTCTCAACCAGTTTTCTGGTGACCCACCTCTTCGTGGGTCACCTGGTGTGTTTGCGCTGCATGGAAAACGCATTGAGTGGCAATGCGTCGCCTCATGCTACGGCCCAGAATGCAAGTGAAACAATTTGTTTTTCTCAACAAGTTTTCTGGTGACCCACCCCTTCGTGGGTCACCTGGTGTGCTTGCGCAGTATGGAACGTATGGAAAACGTATTAGGTGGCAGCGCGTCGCCTCATATTCATGCCCAGAATGCAAGTGAAACAGTTGGTTTTTCTCAACCAGTTGCTGGTGACCCACCCCTTCGTGGGTCACCTGGTGTGCTTGCGCCGTATGGCAAACGTATTGAGTGGCAATGCCTCGCCTCATGTTGAGGCCCAGAATGCAAGTGAAACAGTTGGTTTTTCTCAACCAGTTTTCTGGTGACCCACCCCTTCGTGGGTCACCTGGTGTGCTTGCGCCGCATGGAAAACGCATTGAGTGGCAGTGCTTCGTCTCATGTTGAGGCTCAGAATGCAAGTGAAACAGTTGGTTTTTCTCAACCAGTTTTCTGGTGACCCACCCCTTCGTGGGTCACTTGGTGTGCTTGCGCCGCATGGAAAACGTATTAGGTGACAATGCCTCGCCTCATGTTGAGGCCCGGACTGCGAGTGACATATTTGGAATTTCTCAACCAGTTCTGGTGACCCACCCCTTCGTGGGTCACCTTGTGTGCTTGCGCCGCATGGAAAACGCACTGAGTGGCAATGCGTCGCCTCATGTTGAGGCCCAGAATGCAAGTGAAACGATGGGTTTTTCTCAACCAGTTTTCTGGTGACCCACCCCTTCGTGGGTCACCTGGTGCGCTTGCGCCGTATCGAAAACGCATTGAGTGGCACTGCCTCGCCTCATGTTGAGGCCAAGAATGCAAGAGAAACAATTTGTTTTTCTCAACCAGTTTTCTGGTGACCCACCCCTTCGTGGGTCACCTGGTGTGCTTGCGCCGCATGGAATACGTATTGAGTGGCAGTGTTTCGTCTCATGTTGAGGCCCGGAATGCAAATGAACCAATTGGTTTTTTCAACCAGTTTTCTGGTGACCCACCCCTTCGTGGGTCACCTGGTGTGCTTGCGCCGTCTGGCAAACATCTTGAGTGGCAGTGCGTCGCCTCATGACGAGGCCCAAAATGCAGGTGAAACGATTTGTTTTTCTCAACCAGTTTTCTGGTGACCCACCTCTTCGTGGGCCCCCTGGTGTGCTTGCGCCGCATGGCAAACGTATTGAGTGGCAATGCATCGCCTCATGTTGAGGCCCAGAATGCAAGTGAAGCAATTGGTTATCCTCAACCAGTTGTCTAGTGACCCACCCCTTCGTGGGTCACCCGGTGTGCTTGCGCCGTATGGAAAGCGTGTTGGGTGGCAATGCGTCGCCTCATGTTGAGGCCCAGAATGCAAGAGAAACAATTTGTTTTTCTCAACCAGTTCTCGGGTGACCCACCTCTTCGTGGGTCACCTGGTGTGTTTGTGCTGCATGGAAAACGCATTGAGTGGCAATGCCTCGCCTCATGTTGAGGCCCAGAATGCAAGTGGTTTTTTTTTCTCAACCAAATCTCTGGTGACCCACCCCTTCGTGGGTCACCCGGTGTGCTTACGCCGTATGGAATACGTATTGAGTGGCAGTACGTCGCCTCATGTTGAGGCCCAGAACGCAAGTGAAACCATTTGTTTTTCTCAACCGGTTTTCTGGTCACCCACCCCTTCGTGGGTCACCTGGTGTGCTTGCGCCGCCTGGAAACGCATTGAGTGGTAATGCCTCGCCTCATGTTGAGGCCCAGAATGCAAGTGAAACAAATGGTTTTTCTCAACCACTTGTCTGGTGATCCACCCCTCCGTGGGTCACCTGGTGTGCTCGCGCCGTAGCGAAAACGCATTGAGTGGCAGTGCGTCGCCTCATGTTGAGGCCCAGAATGCAAGTGAAACAATTGGTTTTTCTCGACCAATTTTCTAGTGACCCACCCCTCCGCGGGTCACCGGGTGGGCTTGCGCCGTATGGCAAACGTATTGAGAGGCAATGCGTCGCCTCATGTTGAGGCCCAGAATGCAAGTGAAACAGCTGGTTGTTCTCAACCAGCTGTCTTGTGACCCACCCCTTCGTGGGACACCTGGTGCGCTTGCGCCGCATGGCAAACATACAGAGTTGCAGTGCGTCGCCTCATGACGAGGTCCAGGATGCAGGTGAAACAATTTGTTTTCCCAACAAGTTCTCTGGTGACCCACCCCTTCGTGGGTCCCCTGGTGCGCTTGCGCCGTATGGAAAACGTATTGAGTGGCAATGCATCGCCTCATGCTGAGGCCCAGAATGCCAGTTGTCTGGTGGCCCACCCCTTGGTGGGTCACCCGGTTTGCTTGCGCCGTATGGAAAACGTATTGAGTGGCAGTGCATCGCCTCATGTTGAGGCCCAGAATGCAAGTGAAACAATTGTTTTTTTTCAACCAGTTGTCTGGTGACCCACCCCTTCGTGGGTCATCTGGTGTGGTTGCGCCGTATGGAAAACGCATTCAGTGGCAATGCCCAGGACGCAAGTGAAACAATGGGTTTTTCTCAATCAGTTTTCTGGTGACCCACCCCTTTCGTGGGTCACCTGGTGTGCTTGCGCCGCATGGGAAACGTATTGAGTGGCAGTGCATCGCCTCATGTTGAGGCCCAGAATGCAAGTGAAACAATTGGTTTTCTCAATCAGTTTTCTGGTGACCCACCCCTTCGTGGGTCACCTGGTGTGCTTGCGCCGCATGGAAAACGCATTGAATGGCAGTGCGTCGCCTCATGTTGAGGCCCAGAATGCAAGTGAAACAATTGTTTTTCTCAACCAGTTTCCTGTTGACCCACCCCTTCGTGGGTCACCTGGTGCGCTTGCGCCGTATCGAAAACGCATTGAGTGGCAGTGCGTCGCCTCATGTTGAGGCCCAGAATGCAGGTGAAACCGTCTTTTTTTGGCGACCCACCCCTTTCGTGGGTCACCAGGTGCGCTTGCGCCGCACGGCAAACGTATTGAGTGGCAATGTTTCGCCTCATGTTGAGGCCCAGAATGCAAGTGAGACCATTGGTTTTTCCCAACCAGTTCTCTGGTGACCCACCCCTTTCGTCGTGGGTCACCTGGTGTGCTTGCGCCGCATGGCAAACATATTGAGTGGCAGTGCGTCGCCTCATGACGAGGCCCAGGATGCAGGTGAAGCAATTTGTTTCTCTCAACCAGTTTTCTGGTGACCCACCCCTTCGTGGGTCACCTGGTGTGCATGCGCTGCATGGAAAACGCCCAAAGTGGCAGTCATCTGGATTCCTCGGAGGGCGCCGGGCCATGTCCTAGGATTTCTGAGGTTCCCCTTGGGGTTCCTTATTATTAGGGTGCCCTAGGGATTCTTGGGGATTCACCAGGGATCCCTAAGAAGCCCCGAGGGAATCCGAAAGATTCCCTGAAGACCCCGCAGGATCCCCAAAGGATCCCTGAGGATTTCCGAAGGGATTCTTTGGGAGCGCCGAGAGATTCCTCAGGATTCCCGAGGGACTCTTGAAGATTCCGCTTTGAATCCCATGGATTCCGCAGGGATTTTCTTGGATTTCCGAGGGAGCCATAAGGGTCCCCGAGGGTTTCTGGAGTCCGCGGGAATTCTTAACGACACGTTCGGGATTCCAAAGGATCCCTTAGGGATTCCTGACGATTCCCAAGGGTTCCCTCGGGATTCCCTGAGGATTCTTGAGGAGCCCTTAATAATAAGGATTCCGAATGATTCCCTAGGGATTCCTAGGGATGCCCTCGGGATGCCTTAGGATTCCCTTGGGATGCTTGTGGATGCCCTAGGGATTCCTCAGGATTCCTTAGAAATTCCTTAGGGATTCCCAACAAGGGATCCCCAAGGATTCCCAGAGTCTGCCCCTCGCAGGCCGCCCTTCACAGGCTTCCATTGGTTTCCCCCGATAGGCTGTCCCCCACCGGCAAATTCAGGGAAACCCTCCTTGTTGCCACCCGCCCAGCCAAGAATAATTTACGTTGCGCGCCTCAAATTCACCCTCCACGCTAAAGCAGCAGGACCGCGCACGCCAATAATAATAATTTGAAGCTTTTATTCTTCTTCGGAAATTTCAGGGTTACCTGGTAATTTCAAGCCCCGGGCCAGCCCCCCCAGAAGAATAATATTGCATTTAATTTTGTATCAGAACGTATTGAGATTCTTCGGAAATTCGAAGGTAACCCTCGAATTTCCCCCAAAACCCAAGAAGAAGTAGCTAATCGATGGGGTTAAACGATAATCAGCGCCCCGTCATGGGTAATAATGGCAGGGTTCAGAGGAGGATGGAGGAGGAGGAGGAGGAGGAGGAGGAGGAGGGGAAGGAAGAGGAGGAGGGGGCGTGACGGGGGTAGGCCTCGTCGTCTTTGTTGTTCGGCCTTGTTGGGCATTATTTGGGGGGGCCCTCGTCAACGCGAAACCTCATAATAAAGCACCCCGGGGCCGATTATGAAGAAAGGGGCCGGTCCGGGCGCCGATTTTGAAGGGGGGCGATTTTGAAGGGGGCTGATCCCCCTTCAAAATCGGCCCCCTTCAAAATCGATAACGGACAACAGCGACGACGACGACGTCGTCCAGGCGCGCCCAGGCGAGGCTCTGACGGGTCGCCCACAGGCCGACGGTCCTCCTGCAGCGAGCGCCTCCAGGCAGGCCCTGCAGCCGCGCCCCACGCGGCCGGCACGTGCATCTTATTATCATTCGTTCTCACCTGCTGCTGTCCCATCGTGGTATCCAGCCTCGTTCCGCCTTTTCCTGCCCCGTATTATCCTGGCCCACTCCGGCCCACCCCCATCGTAGTATCTTATCCGCCCCGCCCATTATATCCGATCCCATCTTCTCGGCGCCGATGGCGACATTGTTGTCTAGGCGCCCTCCTCCTCATCATCATTATCCTCCCCCTCCTCCTCCTCGTCTTCTTTCAGCTTAGACGCACGGAAGGCAGCAAGAGCAACGGCGGCGGCCATCGAGCCCCCCCCCCTTCCCTGTCTCGACCCCGTCAGCGGTTGTTTGCCCGCGGACCTGCTGGAGGCAGGGATCGGCCCATCATCAGGGTGGCCTCCAAGACGGCTTAGATGGCCCAAGATGATTTCCATGATGGTCCCGAGACGCATCCAAGACGTCCAAGATGCCCCCAAGAAGAGAGCCCAATAAGACCCCAAGATGCCTCCGACGCGGCCCAAGAAGATGAACCCAAGACGACCCAAGATGGCCTCAAGACGGTCTAGGACGCCCAGTCTGGTGACGCCGCTGGCGCCGCGCTTCTTCTTCTGGGCCGAGACACCGAGGGGGGAGGGGGGGGGGGGCATCGCCTCCCCCCCTCGCCCACCACGGGAGCTCAAGACCCCAGATCCCGAAAGATCCCGAGACGGGAAGGACGAGGCAGGAGGCGAAGCCTCATTCATGCCCACTCCAAGGGAAAACAAGGGGCCTCATTTGCGTGGTCGATGATGGCGCCCGCCAGGCACTCAGGCCCCGTCGCAGGCGGCCCCCGAGCAAACGGAATGGACGAGCATCATCCATCCTCCATTCTCCTGATGTCTCCCCCGTTTCCTCATAAGCACTCCTCATCTTCGAATCTAAATCGAGGCCTGGGCATCCCACTGGTCGGGAGCCGCCTCGCTGAGGCCTCTGGCCAGCGCGGAATGGACGAGCATCCCCCCCCTGATCCGCCCACATCCGTTCTCTTATGAATAACGCCTCCCTGCCGTCGCTCCGCCAGACGTGTCGCTAGGGCGGGCCGGGCACGCGTTCAGGGCATTAATCCATATCAAGTAATACCACGCGGGCCACATGCGCGCGTCTCCCGCGCGCGCATGTCGAAATCCTTAGTTTGCAATCGTCACAATGTCCTACCTAGGAGTTGGAGCACCTAGGAAAGCAACATCTACATCTACACCGACAGCTACATTAATATATACACCTGCATCTACATCTACATCAACATCAGCAGCGAGACTCACATCTACATCTAAATCCACACCTACATCTACACCTACACCTACATCTGCATCTGCATATACATCTACATCTGCATCCACATCTGCATCTACATCTACATCTACATCTACATCTACATCTACATCTACATCTACAAATCATAATACACATACATCCACATCTACACACACCTACATCTACATATGCATCTACAAGTTCGCATTGGTGGTGCGTTCGCTTTGCATGCTATGCTACGATATGCAATGATATGCTGTGCTATGCGGTGCTACGTTTGGCTATGATATGCATTGATATGCTGTGCTAATGCTGCGCTGCGCTATGCTGCGCTAAGCTAAGCTAGAGTAAGCTAAGTTATGCTTCGCTATGCTACGATATGCTATGCTGCGCTACGTTATGCTATGATATGCTGCGCTATGCTATGATATGATAGGCGAAGCTATGATATGCTATGCCGCGCTCTGCTATGCTATGCTATGATGTGTAATGTTATGCTGCACTATGCCATGATATGCTGTATTATGTTGTGATGTGCTATGATTTGCTATGCTGCGGTGTGCTATGCTAAGCGATTCAATACCATGATGTGTTATACTATGCTAGACTGCGCTATGCGGTGCTATGTTATGCTATGGTAATATGCTGAGCTATGCTATGTTATGTTATGATATGCTTGGCTATGCTATGCCATGATATACTGTGATAGTGCTGCCCAAGCTAAGCTAAGGCAAGGTAGACCCAGCCATGCTAAGCTAAATATGTTAAAGCTAAGCTAAGCTAGGCTACTAGGCCAAGCTAAGCCGAGCTAAGCTAAGCTAAGCTAAGCTAAGCTAGCTAAGCTAAGCTAGGCTAGGCAAAGCGGGGGATCATGGGGGAACCGCGGTGCGGATGCCAGGAGAACCGCCCGGGGCGATTTCCACTGCCCGGCCCTTTAAGCATACAGGGTAAGAACCCTTCTAGGCACAGCCTAGGTAGGGATTTGGTTTCTTCTGAGCAGCTTAAGAAGATATAGTTATCAAAAACACATGAGCATCAACTGGCAGCTCAACAAAGTCTGCCAGGCTCATTGAATTTCGAAACGCACAGTTCCTCATGTCAGCTCCATGGGGCGCTTGTCTTTCAAGGGCGCACGCCCAGGCGTGAAAAGGATGATTGCGTGAACTTATTATGGGAGGGTGCATGGCAGCGTCGCATCATCGGGCATCCCGGGTTCCCCCTGGCCCCCCTCCTCTCCTGCCTCTCCGAACGTTGGCCGGACTCAGTAGCCAGCGCTCGACATGCCTCTCACCGGCTTGCTCAGACTCTTCAGCGCCGTTGTTGCCGTGAACTTGGCTGAGGCCCGAATGAACGCCAGATCCTCTGATGAGTCATCGTCTTCCTCATCCTCCTCGTCCTTGCCCTCCTCTTCCTCCTCCGCCTCCTCGTCCTCCTCGTCATCATCGCCCTCCTCGTCGTCGTCGTCCTCGTCGTCGTTGCCCCCTGAGTCGTCGTCCCCTGGATCGCCCTTCAATTTTCAGGTTGCTCGAGGCGTCGTCGTCGCCCCCTTCTTCGTCGCCATTTTCGTCGTCCTCTTCGCTTTCCTCATCGTTGTCGTCCGCCTCCTCCTCCTCCTCCTCCTCGCCCTCCTCCCTCTCGCCTCCTCGTCCTCCTCCTCCTCGTCCTCCGCCCCCTCCTTCTCCTCATCCCCCTCCCCCCCCCCTCGTCGCCCTCCGAGGGGCGCCGGCCCCTTGCCCGGCCGCGCAGGCCCCAGGTCTTCGCCCCGACCCACCCAGGACGGAGTCGCTCCCCCTCGCTGCTCTCTGGCGGCGGTGGAGGGGCGGGCGGAGGGGGCTGAGAGGGGAGGGGGAAGGAGGAGGGGGGATAACGTCGGGGGGAGGATGATGATGGGGGGGGACGTGGAAGAGGATGTAGCGTTTTCACCCCCAACAGCAACAACAATGGGCTTGAAAAAACTGGAGGGGGGGATCACGGGCGCGGGGTCGGGGCGTTTATTTGTTGAACCGCCGGGCTCCGGGGCCGCGAGTTCCCTGTCCGCCGCGAAAGCCATCACCTCGGACGGGCGCTTCCTCGCAATCTTCTCGTGGGCGGCGGCAATGAACGCGCCCTTCTGGAACCACTTCCAAACGCCATTGGAGGTAGTAGTCTTCGAAATCATGATGCGGTAAAGCTCGGGATGGAGCCTCACGAACTCGTCGGACGCCCACGCAACTCGAGTGAGATGCGCAATGCCATGGAAGGTCATGCAACGACCTCTCTCGCCTGCTGATGCGAAAAACTGTAGATCGCACGCCACTCCTCCACCAATGACTAGTGCCCAATGGATACGTTGTGGTAGGAGTACAGCATCAGGCACGATGAAGGTGTTCGCATTGAGTCGATCATTGACCACCTTAGCATCCAAAGTTCTCAACACGCGAACGTGACAGGGCGCCTTGAACTTGTCCTGCAAACTCTTCTCGACGAAAACACTGGCGCCAGCTAAAACAGGGAGGACCGGGTCGTCGGCGGCTCGAGAGGCGGCTCGTTTCTTACTGATGTACTCTTCAGTCAGCTTGTCTTGATACAGCGAGAATAAACGAGCAGCCACGCGCATGTTGGGCGGCATGTCCTTGTCTATGTTCAACTCGCTCGTGCTCAAGAGCTGCTTCAGGCGCTTGGCCTTCTGGAAGTCGGCCTCTTTCTGGTGTTCGGGCGTCCGCGAAGCAGTATCAGTCGACAGCCTCCCCTCGATCTGGGCGCGTCTCGCCTCAGAGCTGCTGGCCGCGTCAGAGATGGCGCTGCTCCGACGTTTCAAAAACGAGCTAAAACTATTGTCTTCTCTTGACACTGGTCGCGGCCGCCCAGCGTCCACTCGCACAGGCCTGTCGCTCGTTCGAGTGGTCCTGTAGACCTCCCGCCAGATGGCCCGGGCAGCCTCGCAGAGTTCATTGTCCGACTTGGGATCCACGTCGCAAATGATGAACAACTCGTCGTTGATGAGCTGCTCGGAGAGATCGGCCCGGCAGAAACCGGCCGTGATGTGGCCCTTGGCGAACAGCCGCTCCACGCCGGACGAGCTTTGCCCATATCCACCGAATCGCACCAAGCACGCCATCAAGGCGTCTGAAGGGTGCGCCATCGCAATGCGCCGGGCGCGGGTCATGGCCTCGACCGCTAGCCTCCACGCGTCGATGGTCGACGCCCCGGCAGTCTCGGCCACCCTCAGGGCGACTGGCAAGAAATCATCATATTGAACCCGCAGCTCCGTCTCAGGGACTTGGCATAAGTGAGCAACTCTGGCCATGTGATCGCTGAAATTCGGCATAGCAGCAACTTTCTCGATGGTTTTGCCAAGCTGAAAATGCACATCGAGGCCAGCGCCTCAAAGTTTGGAAATTCTGCTCTGATCACGAGCGTTGCGAGGGCAACCCAATTCTTCATGCGCTTCAAAGCGGAATTGATGAGAGCCGGCGTCACTGTTCCTCTCCCCCCAAGTGTATACGGGACTGCTGCTTGGCCAGTGCCGACCCAAAGGGTCCTTGCTCGCTGGAGGCGCTGAACCATCAGATGCGTGAAACCCGTCTGCAAACAACCGCCGTGATTGAAGAGGTAGGTCACCCGTTGGAAAAACCGCAATACTTCATGGCATTGTCTTGATTTGTCGAAGTCTTCACAATCGAAAAACCTAGTCAGAGCAAGGTTCTCAACGCTAGCGTCAGCCAGCATAGCGAAGGTGAGGCATGACTCCACGTCCAAGAGACGCAGGAAACGCTCTGCGTCCTTCGATTCTTCATTGCCATGTCGTTCGTCCTGAAGCTGCTGCGCCGTCTTCACAAGGGCGTCGAAGTGGAACGCGCCCCTCGACAACGGCAGCGCGATGCTGTGGGCGGCACAGGCAAAGAAAACAAACGACCACATGACTTAAGCCAAAACATGAAACGGACAAGTCCAATAACCCCACCCTTCAAATAATGTAAGAGCGGCTTCTAATAGGGTTTCAAATATAGACGGGGGGCGCGGAGGCCGAACTGCATTATCACTGGGAAAGTTCACCATCGAGGTTACATCCTTCTTATGTTGAGACAACAACATCAAGCGAAGCGAACACGTTTTTTCAGGATGTCTCAAGCGAAACCAATAATTTTGGGAGGCAGCCTCAAACGAAACGATCAATGGTTCGAGGATGTCTCAAGCGGAACCAGCAATTATTTGAGGATGTCTCGAGCGAAGCGAAAAACTTATCGAGGGTGTCCCAAGCGAAACAAGCATATACTCGAGGATGTCTCTCTCTTGCTTTCTCCTCCTCACCGTGGCCCCTGAGCTTGCGCATCGCTGTGCTTTACTATCATCCAGGGAAACCGAGGCAGATGAGCTATGCCCTACACGAGCAGATGAAAATGCTAATTTCCATTAAGCGTTGACAATTAAATATAAAAAGTTTTGAACTTTGGAGTTTTCCTTTTCCTCTGCGCGCCCATTTGGTCCTCTCTGAAACATCATCAAAAACGAAATTGAAAAGTTCTGGTGCCCTTTATTATTAATAAGGATGCTGAAGGAACACGTCGGCTTTTTAATAATTTTATAATAGAGAACTTAAGTTCGGAGGTGCGCGCGCGCGCCTCTGAGCTTCACTTGTATATTATTATTCACATGAAAAATCTACATTTAATTCCAAAGACGAAATTGGAAAATTCTGGAGCTCTTTAAAGAGGCCGAAGGAACGCGTCAGCTTTTAATATTTTTATGATACGGAACTGAAGCTCGGAGGTGCGCCGCCGCGCGCGCGGCGGCGCACCGCTGAGCTTCGCTTCTACATTATTATTCGATATTAATAAATCAACATATAATTCCAAAAACGAAATCGAAAAATTCTGAGCCCTCCCTTTAAGGAGGCTGAGGGAACTTGTCGGCTTTTTATACGTTTATAATAAAGAACTGAAGCTAGGAAGCGCGCGCGCGTGACCGGGTCACCCGCGCGCGCGCGCGCGCCTCCGAGCTTCAATTCTGCATGATAAAAATATGAAAAGCAGCCGCGTTCCTTCGGCCTCCTTAAAGGGCCCCAGAAATTTCCAATTTCGTTTTTGGAATCTTACATATAGATTTAGCAATGATAAATAATAATAATAATGTAGAAGTGGTGAAGCTCAGCGGTGCGCCGCCGCGCGCGCGGCGGCGCACCTCCGAGCTTCGCTTTTATTTTTGAAAAATACAAAAAAATCAATTGGTTTCCTATAGAATTGTGCGCGCATACTAATAATTCTCATAGGTCCCCTAAGATTCCTACTGGTTCCTATAATAATAGAGATTCCCATTGGTTTCTATAGAGATTCCCCATGTGCCTCGTTTTCCCAGGGCAATCAACCACAGCGATAAACAAGTTCAGGGGGGCCTGGGGGGGGGAGAAAGATAGAGAGATACATAGGACGATAAAAAGAGAAGAGGAGGTAGAGGAGGAGGATGAGGATGAGGAGGAGAAAGAGCAAGAGGAGGAGAGGAGAAGGCGATCGCACAAATCCAAAGTTTAAAACTTATTAGATGTCATTTGTAAGTGCTTATGTGCTCGCGTAGGGTAGCTCATGCGCCTCGCGCCCCAATGATAAGCAACCCCAGCGATGAACAAGTTCAGAGGGGCAGGGTGAGGATAAGAAATAGAAATAAAAAGATAGAGATAGATAGAGAGAGAAGCTGAGGAAGAAGAGGAAGATGACGAGCAGGAAGAAAAGTTAAGGATGTCTCAAGATATCCTCGGCTTCGCTGGCCCCTGGCGGGCAACTTTTATTATCGCTCCGCGACGCCGAACTTCATGATCCCTGGAAGGTTATTCTCTATTATAGTTCGAGGTTATGGCTGTGGGCCCGTTTTCATTAATCGGAGGCGAGGGGGGAGATCGAATTCTTGACGCCTCGCGCATCCCCACCAGCCCATCCAGAAACGATCAGCAGGGGAGTTGGTGAATCAGGGGCGGCATAACGCACGCAGTCGCGCAGCCGTCGTCGAGAACACAAGCATCACACATCATAGCTGTCCGCATTGAAGGTTAAGATGGAAATCAGTGCAAGTTACGATGGTGCTTCGATGAGAAGAGGTGAGGGGTATTTCGATGACTCGTAATGGCTGTTGCACTGATTTGGTCTGGGCCCTCTGGGGATTCTCGTGGCCCCCTCTTGGAGCTTCCTGGTGCTCTTTCTTGCGGCTCTCATGAGGTCATCTGAGGGCTTTCTTGGGGCGTATGTGGGGCTCTTTTGATGCGTGTTGGGGCCCTCTTGGGGCTCTTTTGGAGGACATTGGAGCCCCCCTTGGGGCTTTTTTTTGAGGGGGTGTGTGGGAGGCATCTCGGAGCCGTCTTCTTGGTCCCTATCACGGCTAAAGAAGAAGAGGGGGGGGGAGGCAATTCTTGCCCCCCCCCATCGGAAGCTCAAAAATGCAGTCGTGGGACCATATTGGCCCGCTCTTGGAGCGTTCTTGGGGCCGTTTTGGGGCTCTCATCATGGGCCCCTTTCGGGGCTGTTTTGGATCATCTTGGGACCATCTCCTTGAGGCCTCAACAACAAGAGCCCTTCGGAGGCGAAAAAATCAGAAGGCAAAAAACATTGATTGTCCATAGGTGTTTGAAGGAGTTTGGCATCTTCTTGGGGGGGTCCTTGGAGGCCTCGGAGGGCAGTTGAAACTATCTTGGGGCCGTCTTGAAGCCTCTCGGACGCTTGTCGGAGGCTATCTTGGCCCCTCTACCGCTATCTTGGGCCATCTTGGAGGCCATCGTGCGCTCTCGGAGGCTCTCTTGGAACCATCTGGGGCCATCTTCTTGGACGCCGCTATGGGCCCGCCCCCCCCGTCCAAACGCAGGGAGGGGGGGGGGAGGTAAACAACCTCCCGAGCAGGAGGGAAAGGCAGGAGGTTGGAAAGGGAAATGACTTAGCCCACATACGCCCAGAGGGCTGGTGGGATTGGAATGATGGACAGCCCCCCAGTATAATAATACCGTCGGGAAATCGATTTCGGTTTCGTGTTCGCGCGCGCCGCGCGGGCGAGCCGAAGCTGCGCGGGCGGGCGAGAGGAGAAGAAAGTCTCTTGTGGCTAAGGCGCAGCCGGGCCAAATGTTTGGCGACCCGGCGCCCGGGGCCGGGCGGTGCCCCGCCGGTGCCCCGGCGCCCCAGGCTGAGGCGCGGCCGGACCAAATGTTTGGCGACATGGCGTCCGGGACCGGGCGGTGCCCCGCCAGTGTCCCGCCGGTGCCCCGGCGCCCCTCCTGGCGAACAGTGCCGCGCGGTGCCCCGCTGGTGCACCGCTGCTGGTGCCCCGCCTGCGTCCCGATGGTGATGATGATGATGAGGAGGAGAAAAATGATGATGAGGATGATGAGGATGGTGATGATAAGGATGATGATGATGATGAGGATGATGATGATGATGGTGGTTGTGATGATGGCGATGCTGCTAAGGATGAGGATGATGATGAGGATGATGATGATTGATGAAAATGATGATGGTGATGATGTTGATGATGGTGATGATGGTTATGATGGTGAAAATCGTGATGATGGTGTAAATGGTGATGATGGTGATGATTATGATGGTGATGATGGTGATGATGACGAGGATGATGATGATGTTGTCGATTGTGAGTTCGACTATAAAATAAAAAGCAAGATCGACAGTGAAATATGATGATGATGAGGATGCTGAGGACGATGATGAGGATGATGATGATGATGATGGTGGTGATGATTGTGATGATGATGTTGATGATGATGACCACGATGATGAGGATAAGGATGATGATGAGGATGCTGATGATGGTGGTGGCGATGAAGACGATGATGATGATAATGATGATGAGGATGATGATGATGACGGTGGTGGTGATGATGATGTTGATGTTGTTGATGATGATGAATATGATGATGATGATGATGATGACGAGGATGCTGATGAAGATTGCGATGATGATGACAACAATGTTGTTGATGATAATGATGGTGATGATGGTGATCATGGTGGTCATGGTGGTGATGATTATGGTGATGATGATGGTGATGATGGTGATGATGGTGATGATTATGATGATGATGCTGTTGATGATGACGGTGGTGATGATAATGGCGTCGATTGTGAGATCGATTGTGAGATCGATAGTGAGATCGACAGTGAGAAAAACTTATGATGATGATGCGGAAGATGATGATAATGACCAGGATGATGATGATGGTCATGATGGTGATGCTGATGATGATGACGATGATGATGAAGAGCATTAAGATGAGGATGATGATGGTGGTGCTGATGGTGATGATGGTGATGATGGTGATGCTGATGATGATGGTGAGGTGGCGAGGATGACGGTACTGATGAAGATGATAATGATGACCTCCATTGTGATATCGATAGTGAGATCGATAGCGAGACCGAATGTGAGATCGATTGTGGGATCGATAACCAGATCGATTGAGAGATCGATAGTTAGATCGATTGTGAGATCGACCGAATGAGATCGATAGTGGGGTCGATAGTGAGACCGAATTTGAAATCGGTTGTGAGATCGATTGTGAGATCGCTAGTGAGATCGATAGTGAAACCGAATGTGAGATCGATTCTGGAATCGATAATGGTATCGAGTGTGAGATCGATCGAATGATATCGATTATGTTATCGATAGTGAGATCTAGCGAGTGCGACGTTGATTCCTCCCCCCCCACCTCCTTATCATCCGAAGGGTGGTCGTATAGGTCTGAGTTTGAACGCTTCGGCCTTCGGGGCATCATCATGGGGAGTTCTCGTCGCCGCGGCTGGGGCCGCTTCGAAATCCTGGTCAGAGCGCGCCCAGGAGCGTGGCGGGGCTACCCCCGATCACCCCGCTTCTAGAATTCCGCCCATCGCCTGTCGAAGCGGTGGTTCGCACTGGACAATTTCTTCATGTTTGCGGCGCGCTCCCTGCTGTAGCGCTGCAGCTTAATATTTTTCTGGAAACGAGCACGGTACACGTCGCTGTGTTGGATGCGCTTCATGATTGACGTTCTTTTAAGGATGAAAGTCTCCGAGATTTGCTTTAAGTACGGGTCTCGCAGCCACGTTCTCGAGGTGATCCTGGGAAAACCTCAAATGTTGCCTCATCCCCTGCTCGTTCCGCTCACCCCATGCTCGCTATCTCCCTCATGCATCCTCTCTCTTCTTCACGTCCTTCCCACGTGCTCGATATCATCGTGTCCCTGCGCCCCCGGTATATCACGTTGCCGGGCCGTCGAGCCCCCTCGAGTTCGCCAGGGCCGCGAGCCCCGCCCCCCGCCCCTGGCCGGCAGGCAGGAGGGGGGGGCGGAGGAGGGGGAGGAGGAAGATAGGGGGGAGGGCGAGGAGGGAGGAGGTCAAGACAAAGCAAGGGGAAACAGTGGAGAGGAGGAGGAGGAAATGGAAGAGGGGGAGGAGGATGGGGCGGGGAGGGGATGGTCATTCATGATTTCGAAGGCCCCTGGGTCCTGCGGGAGGCGTGCGCTTTGTCTTTGTTTTGCACTCGCAAGTTGCAGAAAAAACCCTCTTCGAAATGCCCATCGCACGAAGTGACCCGAGTCCCCTTGAGGAGTTTCGCCGCCAATTGTTCGTCTGACGCAGCATCTGCGTCGAATAATTCAACGATGGATCTACAATGTTGCAGCAACTCGTCGTCGCACGAATTCTTGGGAGGTCTGGTGCAGTAAGGCGCGCCTTTCCTAGGCGTGCAAAACGAAGTCAGGATATCGATCGTAGCGCGCCTCATCCCAATTGCATCCAGAGTGTAATCTTTTGCCAGATCGACGCATCCCAAAACTCCAGCAAACGGGGTCAAGTCCGTTCCGCAACAAGTAAAACGGACAGCAAATCTACCCTTTTCTCCCGTCTTGGTGGATGCTGGCGACTGTGCTCTTGGCAAGTTCAGCACGTTTGCGGTCTCTCGCCGCCTCCCCCAGGCACCACTTCATAGCCCGTAGCTTTTTTCTGCTGCCCAGGCCTCTGATCCGCCACCGTGCCTTGGCGCGTTGATGCGCGGGGGAATGCCAAGGGCTACCTGGTAGGGTTTCTGTAGTCGTCTGAGGGGCCACTCCCCCCAACAATGATGATGATTGTGATGATGATGTTGGTGATGGTGGTGATTATGCTGATGATGATGGTGTCCCGATGATGCTGATGATGATGGTGACGGCGTTGCTGGCGATGATGTCGATGATGATGGCGTTGATTGTGATATCGCTTGCGATATCGATAGCGACGCAGATACTGAGACCGAATGAATGTGAGGTCGATTGGGAGGTCGATAGTGAGATCGATATTGAGATCGATAGTGAGATCGATATTGAGATCGGCTGTGCGATCGATCGGATGAAATCGATCGAATGACACCGATCGGGTGACGTCGGTCAAGCGAGACCGATAATGAGATCGATAGTGGGACCGATCGAGTGAGACGTCGGTTCACCCCCCCAAACCTCCTTATCACCCGAATGGTGGTCGTATATGTATATGCGCGAATGCGCCTCTTTGGGGGGCCCTCTTCTTCTGTGGGCCCTGTTGTTGGAGCCGTCTTGGGGGCCTCGTGTAGCCGTCTTGGGGCATTCTTGGGCCGTCTGAGGCCTTGGGGAAAGCTTCGCGGGGCCCCCGCCCAGGTCCAGGAATGCTTGGGTGGGCTTCCCGGGCCGGCATGGAAGCCCTGGAGGGCCCCAGGCAGGGAGGCGCCATGTTCGCCTGGGGACATCCGGGAGTAGTAGTAGTTGGGGCGATGCATCCAGCGAAGCGCGACGGTCGAGACTATCATCGCAACCATCAGCATTATCATCATCAACATCGTCATCATCATCATCGGGACACCATCATCATCATCATCCGAACACAACCATCATCATCATCATCTCATCTCATCATCATGATCAAGCACAACACCATCAACATCATCACCACCATCGGGACACCATCATCATCATCAGCAATGGCAGCATCCTCAACATCATCATCAACATCGGAAAACCATCATCATCGCCACCATCATCACCATCACCACCGCCATCATCAACATCATCGGGACACCACCATCATCAATATCGTCAGAATCACCATCATCATTGGGCCACCTCCATCGAAATCATCATCATCATCACCTCATCATCATCCCATCACCAACATCATCATCATCAGGACACCATCATCGTCATCAGCAATATCATCATCATCGGGGCACCATCATCATGACCATCATCAGCAACATTATCTTCATCACCACCATCATCATCATCATCATCATCGGGACACCGTCATCATCATGTTCATCATCAGCAACATCAAATCATCTGGCCACCATCAACATTATCAGGATCATCAACATCATCATCATCGGGGCACCATCATCATCATCACCATCATCAGCAACACCACCATCAACATCGTCACGTCATCGGGGCACCGTCACTATCACCACCATAACCATCAACATCATCATCATCATCGTCAACATCAGCATCAACATCATCATTATCATAATCATCATCATCGTCGGGCCACCAGCATCATCACCACCATCACCATCATCATAATCATCGTCAACCTCATCAACATCATCATCATCATCATCAACATCATCATCATCATCGGGACACTGGCGGGGCACGGGCGGGACACCGGCAGGGCACCGCGCGCCACCGGCCCTCGAGCGGGGCGCCGGCGGGACGCCGCGGGGCACCGGCAGCTGGAAGGGAGCCGTTTGGTCTGGCCGCGCCTCAGCTACTACTACAGGAGACGCGTTATTTCTCGCCCGCCCACGCAGCTTCGCCTCGCCCGCGCGCGCGGCACGCACGAACACGAAAGTGAAACCGATTTCCCAATAGGAGGGGGGGCTATCCGTTTCACTTCGATCTCACCCCCTCACCTCCGATTTTGTGCTCGCTTTGGGGGCGATCTGTTGTCTGGGAGCCGCATTGGTTGGGCCCCTATTATTCTTGGGGGCGTCTTCGGGCCCTCCTGGGCCCCTCTAAAAGCCTTAGGGAGAAGGGCCCGGTGGGGCCCCAAGACATCCCCGCCAAGAAGACAGCGCCAAGAATAGGCCCAGAGAGGCCCCCAGGAAGCCCCAAGGCTCCCAGGAGGCCTGCAAGAGGCCCCCAGGCAGGAAGCCCCAAGAAAGAGGCTCCAAGAAACCACCAGGAGGCCCCCAAGAAGAGGCTCTCGAGAGGCCTCAACACTGACTGTCTCCAACATGCCCCCGAGAGCCCCCCCGGGAAATCACGGCGAACATCCAAGAGGCCCATGACCCACAACCCAGGCGCGGTGGCGGGACTTGCCGTAGGCAGCTGGATATCTCCCGTGCACTTGCCTTTCCTCGTGAGCTGGAGGACTTGTGCGAACATGTCCGTTGTTGGTGCAACCTCTGGGGGGATGATGTCGGCGGCATCTGGATCCAGCCCTCTCCAGAGTTTAGTAGCCCTCAAATGTAACTTAGTCTGCTCATGACCTTTCAAAGAAGACTTCTGCAAGTTGACTACATCGATATTGCACCTGCCCCAAGCAGTATTTGTGTTGGCTGACATGCACACCACGCACCCAAAAGATATAATCCGCCGCCTGACCAGGCGCTCGCGCGGCGTCTGGTAAATTTGGCGATACGTCTGAAACTAGGACGCCGTCTTGGCAAGGCCCCCGGCGGCGAGGCCAAACAAATCGAGGGCCCCGAAAAACCGCTGGCATTTAAAGCAGGTCCTCATGTTTTTCCTTACCTAGGCTCTGCCTAGAAGGGTTCTTACCCTGTATGCTTAAGGGGCCGGGCAGTGCCCCCCGCCCGGGGCGGTTCCCCCAGGGTCCGCCCCGCGGTTCCCCCAGTTGCGCCTTCCTCTGGGTTCACCCAGCTTAGCTTAGCTAAGCTTATCTTAGCTTAGCTTAGCTTATCTCAGCTTAGCTTAGCTTAGCTTAATTTAGCGTTGCGTTGCCTAGCTTAGCTTAGCTTAGCTTAGCTTGCTTCATCTTAGTTTAGTTTAGCTTATCTGAGCTTAGCTCAGCCTAGCAGCTTAGGTTAGCTTAGCTTAGCATAGCATGGCTTACCTCAGCTTAGCTTAGCGCAGCATCACGCAGCGCAGCACTAGCACAGCACAGCACAGCATTGCTCAGCACAGCACAGCACAGCACAGCATAGCATATAATAGCTCTGCATCGCCTAGCATACTGTAGCATATCATAGCATATAATAGCGCAGCATATCGTAGCATATCACAGCACTGCTTACCATAGCACAGCACAGCATAGCACAGCATAGCACGGCACAGCATATCATAGCGCAGCATAGCATAGCATAGCGCAGCACAACATAGCAAAATTAACACCATTGCGAGGAGTGTAGATGTAGATGTAGACGTAGATGTAGATGTAGATGTAGGTGTAGATGTAGATGTAGATGTAGATGTAGATGTAGATGTAGATGTAGATGTAGATGTAGATGTAGATGTAGATGTAGATGTAGATGTAGATGTAGATGTAGATGTAGATGTAGATGTAGATGTAGATGTAGGTGTAGATGTAGATGTATTATAGGTCTAGATGTAGATGTAGATGTAGATGCGCAGGTGTAGATGTAGATGTATTATATGTGAGTCTCGCAGTGTAGCTGTCGGCTGTAGTAGATGTAGATGCTGCTTTCCTAAACGCTCCAACTCCTAGGTAGGGTCGCACTGGGATAAGTCGTTCTCTTGGCGGGGGCACGGCGGTCGCTAGCGGGAGCGCGCGGTGCATTGTTCTTGTCGTAGGTTGTGTGAATCCAACTCTGGTTAGAATCTGGCAGGGGGTATGATTGGAGCCATTTGCGCTTTCTCGATGCCCAGAGACAATGCCCGCAACCCCGGACCTTGCAGCTCTACCAGTGAATTCGGTCGGGGTCGGTAGTGCTCAACTTGGCGACGTACGTGGCGTTTTTAGATGGTTGGCGGGATCCGCATTTGACCACTTTGTTGTAGCGAGCCTTCAATGGAACCCGGGGCGGTCTGGTCACGGGGTGCGGCGATGATGAAGGAGGAGGCGCTGGGGTCCGATGGGGAAGAAGATGATGATCTCGTCGACTGTGCCCCGGTCCTGGG